ATCATGGAGTATGAATATTGATATTGTATAATTATATAATTTATTTTATATAATTTATTTTATATAATTTATATAATTATTTATATAATTTATTTTAATTCAAGTATTTTTCTTTAAATTTCGGATAATATTATATGTAATTATGTGTGCATACAAAAAAATTAAAAATTCACAAATTATATGAATTATAAAAATATCATTGACTACATATTGAAATCATATTATGATTATATCATGACATTAAATCATATCATGACATATTATATTAAAATATGATGAACTACATAATTATATATGTATAACTATATTATAGATATATAATTATTGCTTTATTTATACAATATATTAATTATACAATATATAATTGTCATTTATAAATGATAAATAAAATGAAGATTATGATTTAAATTATGACTAAATGCTTATCTGCGATAAAAAAATGGAAATTGCACGTAATACAACTAGTGAATAAAATAAAAGAGTATGATCAAAGGTCGGCGATCAGTGAATCATCACACAGATCTCGATAATGATAATCCGATAAGAATTGGCGGATCAATATTACAATAGAAATAATGATCGATGTCGCGCATTCGTTATAGATATAGCACATTCGCAAAGCAATAATCTTTATGGCTAATCCTTAATATTATGATTAGAAAGTATTTTTCCAATAAACATTGGATTCCCGTACATATAACAATATTAAAATCACCAATAAAATTCTTGTATTTAATGCAAACTTGTAATTTCTTTTAACTTTTGTCATTTTCTCAATTGTAATTGAACAATATTGCATTCTATTTTTATCGTTAATTTTATATTCAAGATTTTTTATTATAATAATAAAGACTAATATAAAAATATGTTATATTTATTTTTTATAAATGAGAATATTCTTTTAATATTGTAGATTTAAATATTTTATAATTAAATTTTAAATTTTAATCCCTCGATATGGAAAAAGATTCGAGAAATTTAAACATATATATATCATACGTGCTCTAGATACAATAAACTATCCGACAATTAAAATGTTATCCATCCAATTAAGAAATTTATCTTAATCTCAAAAACACATCAATCTTTAATTATTATTTAATTAGTTAATTATGTTAGAAAATAGTGTAAAGCTGTTTTAATGTCATTGAAAGCGCATAGTCACACGCATATGCAGTATGCAGCAACACATCATACACACGCACACAAATATGTACGATACACACATACATATTTCGATAGAATTATTTATAAATCTGTCAGGAAAGCACAGATAATTTATAAAACATATAGAAATTTCCTCTTTTTTATATAAAATGTCAAATTATTTTTCAAAATTTTATGAAAATAAAGAAATTATGTATATATTTCTATTATATTACATGTATAAAAGAAATTAAGCACATTTATACGATATAGAATTAGAATGTTAATAAGGATAAAATCTGTTAATTTTATTATTCATATTAATTTTATATTAATTCATATTAATTTCATATTAATTTTATTATTCATATTAATTTTTATATTAATTTTTCCTTTAATATTTTTTTTATCTCTGATCTTTAGTTATACTTTGATTAAAATAAACTTGAAATTTTCACGTTAGTCGGATTTAAAACGTGGGAAAAATGTTACTTTTCTTAACTTTTTAATACTGTAATTTTTTCTCATACTCACAAGTTTCCCGTCGATGTCATGACCTAGAGTTAAAACACGACGCTATATTCCGACTCTATGTTCCTTCTGCATTTGTAGAAGGTTGCGATATACATAAATTTGACATCAGTCATATTACGTTGTAATATAATAATTCTTGTCGTTCAATAAATATTGTTATATTAATATAATATAAAAGCAATAAAACAGGATGTTACACGTAATATATACATATAAATATTACCGATATAAATATTATATATACCGACAAGTGATTACTGATTAATTGTAATTTCCCATTATAAATGAAACATATAATATAACATTTGTATATATATAAGTATTGTTGTTAAATTGTAATTATATTCCATATAAAATTGTTTCATATAGAATATTAATCATATATAAAATTAGTAATTAAATAAATAAAAATAATTATATGTATTTAATATATAAGATTTAAAATAATTTATATAGAAATTTTATTTAGGTAGTCGAATTAAATAATTTATATAAAAATTTCGAGTTTTTACTCCAAACTTAGAAAATAAATGAACTTTCTCATTTACAGGCTCAATTTAAAGTTATCTATTTAATATTCTGAATCTCGTGTGCTGAGATTGTAATAGTAATTAAATTAATAAAAAAGTGATATACTTTGAATCTTACATTAAGGATGTTTTGTATGTACAATCCCAGCAAAAAGTAGCTGAAAATCAATATTATAGACGAATATATCCACTTTTGGTGTATTTTGAGTAAAAAATTGTGTGGAATATTACAATTTAATCTTAGCTACACTGCAGAGATGTATTTTTTAATATTTATTGCATTTTTACTGGAGTATTCCGAATTTTGTGAATCGAAATGCTTAACTTTTGGCAGAGAATTTCGCCTTGTAACAGATACATGGCTAACTTCATTGAATTATATTTAATATCTTTTTAATCAGTTAGTATTTGTATAATATTATTTGACCAAATATTTCATCTATATCTAAACTTTTGCAAATTTTAAATAAATTCTGAATATTATTTTATTTCCATGTGTTTTTGTCATTTGAATCGACGTGGTTATACGTTTCCCATAAGAACACATGTTAATTCGGTGCAAATTAAAATCCTTATAACTTGTGAACGCTTTGGTGAATCGATTTAAAAATTGTACTGAAGATTCTAAACATATGTAAGAACATTCTGTACAATTTTCATTAAATTCTCATTAATTTCATTAAATTCTTTTGAAAATAGGTACAAAACATCCTTAATTCTCGTTCTTTGTAAGTTTTACATCCATTTCATGATGAAAAATTTAATACGACGATCAGTTAAGTCTGGTTTCGCCACGTAGCGGCAAACGAAGGAACATGTATATAACATGTATATAACAATATATTGCAATAATATATTCTGTTACTATTGTAATGCTGCAAAATAATATACATACAATTTTATATCATATATCATGTTACATTCCCTAACAGCACATGATATCATTCGAATATTCTATAATAATAATATTCTACTCATACTGTAAATATACGTTACAGATATAATATACTGAGAATAATCACATAACATCTCTTGTTGTATATTATTTTTCATATATTCTCAGAATATTTTTTGAATATCTCGTATTAGAATATTTTTTCTCGTATATTTTCAGGATATTCTATAATATTGCATGTGTTTCCTCATTTTGCCGCTACGCGCGCTACCAAACTCATACTTAATTTTTGGTGAAATGGACATAAAGGACTGGTACTAACATGAGTTCCAAAGTTTCTTCTTTTTCCTTTTTAGTCAGTTCAATTTATAATAAAGTAACTTAATTTAAAGTAATTTGTCTAATAATCTGGATTCCTTGTTGGAATTCAGAATATTAAACAAATTATTTAAAATTAAAATAAGCAATAATCCATTTACTGCGTTTATATAGAATATAGAAAATATCCGTAGAATGTCTTGAGTATACTATACGTATATTATACGCAGTGTTTGCTGGTATCTAGATAAAATTATCTAGATAATCATCTAGATAAAGAAATGGATCATCTTTATTTCTAACTAAATGAAGAAATATAAAGTATCTTTATCTTTATCTTAGATGAAAAATATGTCATCTTATCTAAAAATTGTCTAAGATGACGTTTTCATTATGCAAAAAAGTTTTCCAAAAATCTGAAGCAAGCTTCTAAAAATCTATCTAAAATGTCTAAAATATATTTTTTATATTATTATTATATTATTATTAATATATTAATATATTAATATATTAATATATTAATATATTAATATATTATTGTTAATATATTATAAATATATTATTATTATAATATTATTAATATATTATAAATATAAATTAATAAATAAATATTTATCATATCATTTATATATCTTTTTGCTATTATTTAAATATTCTTTAGGAAAAGAGAAAGAATATGTGTTTATGATTTTAATATCCCATTTATAATCTGCGTCACATTTTTTACAAATATTTATAGTCTTCTAAAATAAACAAAAATATCTAGATAATTATCTAGATTATCACAATAATTATCTCATCTTTCATCTAGATTAAGTAAAAGCAAAATCATCTTTATCTCATCTAAGATAAATTTATGGATTTTTACCTTTATCTTTATCTAGATAATTTTAAAATTATCTACAGCAAACACCGATTATACGTGTATCATATGTGTACTAATAACATACTTAAAATATTCTATGGATATATACTTCTTATGTACTGAAAGATATCCTCAGTATGTACTAAGAAGTAGGAAAACTTGGACATAGTAGCATTCTTAGTACGTACTTAGTACTTATATCGCAGTACGTATTTCGAATATTCCTAGAATATACGCAATATACTCTTTTCTGTTATTCTTCGAATATTTTCAGAATCTACATGTGCTGTGTGGGTTATTTGTTACTTCTACGTTATATTACTGCAACAAACAGTGTTTACTAATCGTAGAAAGGAAAATTCATATGTGAATCTCACGTTGATAACGGGAGTTAGCGCTGCAACCCGCGCCTTTTGTTAAGCGATTTTTATCTGCCATGCGCTCGTTGAGGCCTGCTCGTCATCATCATAGACGAGCAGCACGCACGGGCACGCAACGCGGCCATGGAAGATGGCAACAGGTGCGCGTGACCGGATGATTCGTCCCGGCTCGTTGCAACGATCGGTGCAGTATTAATCCCGTGCTCATTTTTCGGAGTAGCCCGGTGCGAGATTCCATCTCCGTGTTTACTCCAATCGTATTCTCGATGAAGAGATGCACGAAAATCACTTCGTGCACGCAATATTTGCGCGAGAGGAGGAAAATTACTTACCTATTTACAAATTTCTCACAACACGCCTTACACCACTCGTACCCAGAAACGGTGACAAACGAAGGGAGAGGTTGGGGAGGAAGGGGAAAGCTTACGAGTTCGAGACGACACGAGAGAGACACGCCGCAAAATTTACGTCCCGAACATGCTCGACCGCAAATACTCCGGCGACTAATCCGACCGATCGCCGTCGATCCTACGCATCTTACCTGTCTCAGGTGCGCCTCACGTAACGCAACGTATCATTGGCTGAACCTCGAGCGAGACCAATATGGTGGTCGGACCCGTTGGAATCGGTAATCTACGCCATCGTCGTACCCAGGATCGTATACTAGAATCGACGTTATAACGGTCGATGTGTTTCTTGCAAAAATGTTTTTTACTTTTTTATAGGGTTTACTAGTAACAGTAATTGGAGTCGTACAATATCATCGTAAAAGGATTGCATCGAATAATAAATGTAAATTTTTTTATGCGTTATAAACACGTAGCGCGAGGCATTGCGATGATGTTATACCACACGAGATGAACGCACCCGAAGACTAGTATCTCGAGCCAATAAAACTACTTGTTATAAAGAGATCATAAAGAATGTGACTCGAGGAAAGGTGGAAAGTACCTGTTGATTGCACCAGTTTGATGTATCGGATTGGCTAAAAATGAGACGAAACAATTTAAAATGTTACGCGCTTGTAACAAATGTTAAATTAAATCTACTACTTTTATTCAATAGATGTAGAATATTTAAGTGCCGTATATACAAGTAGAACTAATTAGTTTAAAATTGCATTTACGTAATTGATTTTAAATCAAAGAATTCTTTTAAGATTTATATAAAATACATAAATTATCTTAATATCGCTAGTCAATTAATCAAAGGATCGTTGGAAATAATATAGTCGACCAACACTAGCCAAAAATTTTTTGTTTATTGATTACGACGTTCACCTAATATTTTACACAATGAAAAATATGTATGAAAGAAAGAAATTGCTGAAATGTTTTATATTAAAAAATTCAATAATTTAATCAACCAGCAGAAAGTTTATGGATAGTTTAAACAACATCTACGACAAAATAATAAAGGTCATGTAATGTATTTTTTATTTAATACTCAGTTCGTTGACGAAGTCTCACACCACATCGTTTTTATCTCACGATTTTAAATTTATTAATATGTAACGATCGTGCAAACTTGTACATTTTACAACACTATGATTTATATCTGTCATTTGATCTGTATGTACTCAAATTGTTCACATTTAATTCGTGTGTATACTCGTTATTCAAACCGTTAAAAATTTAATTGTTTAATTGTTATATTCCAGTATTTACTTGAAAAGGACCACAACCATATGGTCGAAACGTCGTAATCAATAAACAAAAAATTTCTGGCTTTTGGTCGATTATATTATTTCCAACGACCCTTTGATTTATATAAAGATTTTTGTATAAATATTTAAATAAAGATTCAAAAATTATAAAAATTAAAAAAATAAAAAGAATAGAAAAACTTAATTTTGAAAAGAAATTAATTTATAAGAAAATAATCTTAACAATATGTAAAAAAAATTATTATATTTGACATTATGTTTATCTATTAATATAGTATATACATATAGTAATGTTATAACTTATATATATAATTACATAGAATATCTCTAAGATATATCAAATTTAATGTAAAGACAAAAGTATATTTATATTGAAAACTTATTTTCTTAATAGATCTTTAAAAATAAATCAAATGTTTTCTTTTTCAATTTTACTTTCTATTTTACTTAGATATTCTCTGTAAAAAGAGGAGCTTAAAATGGACTTACAAAAGAAGAAAAGTCCAATAAGAATCTAATATATTTTATAACATATATATTAATAATTTATTTTTTTATTTCAAGATTAGTATCTTACAATGTACTACTTAGATATGCTTATATATTATTCGAGCTAAAATTTATTTACTCATATATTTTATGTATCATTTTCATAATCCTTAGGATTTTTGCGACTAAGCTCTTGATTCTTCTCCTTTGCCCAATTTATAAGCAAGTAGGAAAACATGAATACTGTGACAAACAAATAATCCATTATTAGGGTATTAAAATCTATTATTAAATCTATTATTAAATCTATTATTAAATAAAAAAATAAATAATTATTAACTTATGTAACTATTAACATATTATAAAATTATATACTGAGTAAATTTTATATATGTTGTCATCTATGCAAGAATTTTTTATCATTGAAAGTATATAATTATAAAAGATATAGAATATATATATATATATATATATATATATATATATATATATACAGGGTGGGCCATTTTAAGTGATCCACTCAAATATTTCGGAAAATAATGAAAAATCGAAAAAATGTTTCAGATAAAAGTTGTATGGCTTGAAGGGGGCCATCAGATAGTGGCAATGATTTGACCTTGGAGAGTCATTTGAAGATGACGTAAAGGTAACCTTCAATTTCTTAAATGGAACTCCCTATTTTTTATTACATATTCGTGTAGCTTATCTCGAGAGCTTTCCAAAACACTATAAAGTATTTCTTCATTGAGTACTTTTCGAGTTATGAGGCTTGAAATCATTTCTTAATTTTGTATAAACCGTAAAATATCTAGTAAAATATTCATTTTTCGATTATCTTGCTTTAATACTTTTATGTACAAAATAATGAGAGAAATCAATTGGTGTAAAAAAAACACATAGTTGTTTCAAAGAAAAAATATGTAATTGTTAATTGCAAATTACATATTTTTTCTTAAAAATAACTATGTGTTTTCTTTACACCAATTGATTCCTCTCATTATTTTGTACATAAAAATATTAAAGCAAGATAATCGAAAAATGAATATTTTACTAGATATTTTACAGTTTATACAAAATTAAGAAATGATTTCAAGCCTCATAACTCGAAAAGTACTCAATGAAGAAATACTTTATTATAGTGTTTTGGAAAGCTCTCGAGATAAGCTACACGAATATGTAATAAAAAATAGAGAGTTCCATTTAAGAAATTGAAGGTTATCTTTACGTCATCTTCCAATGACTCTCCAAGGTCAAATCATTGCCACTATCTGATGGTCCCCTTCAAGCCATACAACTTTTATCTGAAACATTTTTTTGATTTTTCATTATTTTCCGAAATATTTGAGTGGATCATTTAAAATGGCCCACCCTGTATATATATATATATATATATGTAGCACATTTATGTATTTTCTCAAGTGACTTTCTTATGGCGCACCCATACATTCTATTTTATTTAGAAGTAAAAAATTACAATTTATTTGTCGTAAATGTTTTAAATTAACTTAAATATTGTTGCCATAAAAAATCGACTACTTGTTAATGAGGATTCACATAAATATTTAATATGTTGAATATGTAATCAAATATGCTTACTAGGTGCAACTCGAAATACACGATTTTGGAAACGTCGTATAATGTTTGGTACACCTTCGGAGATTAGTCCCTTGAAGGGTTTTTGTTCATATGGACTAAGACGGAAATAAACAATGCCATTAATTTTGGCAAGATTTCCGAATTCCTTTCCCATGTTAGGTAGAATCTATAAAAAAAAAGTCGTAATTATATACCTAATTAATATAATTTAACAACACATAACCAATTTCGAATAATTATAAATGCTCCTTAAATTCAATAACCTCAATTTAAATCAAATTTGGCAACTTTGAAGAAAATATACGACAACTTATTATTTAATTATATAATTTTTCTACACTTACTCAGCGCACACACAAACAAATCCAAATGTTGCAAAGCTTGCAAACTATGGGCACAGTATATACAGTAGCACAACCATAGACTTATATAATAGACCGGCCCCTACCATAAGAGGCAGGGTTGAAAAATCTAAAGGACAAAGAGATGATTACGGGTATCTCTGTCCTTCTCTTTTGTCTCGTGGTGAGGACACTGATGGGATGAGTGAAAACGAAGCGAGCATGCACACTGCTTTCCCCTCAACTCCTACAGTGTCCCCACCACGAGACAAAAGAGAAGGACAGAGATATCCGTAATCATCTCTCTGTCCTTTAGATCTTTCAACTCTGTCTCTTACGGTAGGGGCCGGTCTATTATATAAATCTGTGAGCGCAACTCTCTGTCAGCACTTTTGATGTTAAGCCGGATCTTCATTGATCGTATCGTAACGTCGCAAAAGCCGGATCTACATTGGTCGTATAGTAACATCGCAAGTCGTAAGTCATAGGCAAATTGACCAAATTTGGTTAATTATTTTTGAAATAATTAACCATGATTGGTCATTTGGCCTACGACTTAAGGCTATAGCACACACTTTCCATAAGGCCGGGTCTACAATAGATAATTTAAGCCTTAAGCCTTAAGAGATTGACCTATCACAGTCAAGTATGAAGAGAATACTCGACTGTGATTGGTCAATTTTTTAAGGCTTAATGCTTAAATTACCTATTGTAGACCCGGCCTAAGACGTAACAATAAGGTTTCGATCAATCGCGTTGCTCAATTTGGCCGTCCGTAACCAAATTGAGCAATGCGATTGAAACCTTACTGTTATGTCTTATGAAATGTGTGTTACAACACGTCGTCTACAATGGCAGTAGGATCAAGCATCAAAAGAATACTCGACTGTGATTGGTCAATTTCTTGAGTTACAGCTTTAATCCATTAATCCTACTGCCATTGTAGACAACGCTTAAGACTATAGCACACACTTTCCATAAGACATAACAGTAAGGTTTCGACCAATCGTGTTGCTCAATTTGGTTACAAACGGCCAAATTCGAAACCTTACTGTTATGTCTTATGGAAAGTGTGTGCTATAGCCTATAGCCTTTACGACTTGCGACATTATGATATGACCAATGTAGATCCGGCTTAAGGAGTCGCAAGTCGTAAGTCGTAGGCAAATTGATCAATCATGATTGATTATTTTTGAAATAATCGATTATGATTGGTCAATTTACCTACGATTTACAACTTGCGACTCCTTTGCGACATTACGATACGACCAATGTAGATCCGGCTTTAGGCCCGTTCTACAATGAGTATACTCCGCGACAACGATTCGTTCCATGGTCTCTCTCGCGGGGCAAGGGGAGCGTAGCTTCTAACCAATCAGCCACTGCCACACTGCCAGCTGATTGGTCACTTCTACGCTCCCCTTGCCCCGTGAGAGAGGGGCCGAGAAACGAATCGTTGTCGCGCAGTGTACTTTCCGATTCAAGCGTCGTCTACAATGGCCGGTATTCATAGTCCGATCTTATATTTGAGATCGTCTTAAGTTCAAGCCTGAAATGCTACGCAGCTGTTTGATTGGTTGAATGATGTCTTAAGTCAACCTTAGACCAGACTTAAGACAATCTTAAATATAAGATCGGACTATAAATACCGGCCAATGAGATTTTAAGGGGACTTAAGGCATAAGATTTAAGAAATTGACCAATCACAATCAAGTATTAAGGAGAATATTCGATTGTGATTGGTCAATTTCTTAAGTCTTACGCCTTAATGGTGCGGTCCCATGATACGGAACGTATGCGCAATGCGGAATTGGCGGAACGCTCGTGATTGGTTTAACCTGTTTTACGTCTGTTCCGCCGATTTCTATCCGCAAGTTTCTATTTTATACACATTTTGTGCGGAACTTCGAAATTGTGTGTATGATGAAAAATGTCGAAACAGCAGATATCCGTAAGAATATTATTAAAAAATATTTTAAATAAGAGTGTAACAAGGAATGGTCCAACTAATGCTAATAATGCGTCAAATAATTGAGGTGCCATTCTAAAATAATCCATATATTTTTCTGTGTCTTCGATCAGCATTTCCTTTACAAGATTCTCACTTGCTCCTTTTGTTGGAATCTTCTTTCTAAGCTGAATATAGGTCGCATCCAATATTTTCGTCATTTTTTAATATTTTCATTTCTTTTTACAATTATATACAAATATAATTTGTGTAATTGAATATAATTTTATAATCTTACGGCGTAATTCATTCTTTTTAAATATACACCAACTTTGTTTTAATTTACTTAACAATCCACAAATAATAATAAACAATTTTTCAGAATCCATATTCAATATTAAGTTGTTGTCAGTTTTGAAAGTTATATATGAAATTCATGAATTTTTTGACATATATGTGTGAATCCGATCCGCATAAATTTGTATTTCCTATGTCCCATGCAGCGGAAAATACGGAAGCGTAATTTGCGCGAGCCAATAATGTACGCTGTTCCGATATAGACAACAAAAAAATCTATGGGAAAGAATCTTGTGATTGGCCAACACCAATTGCGCTTCCGCATTTTCCGCTCCATGGGACATAAGAAAATATATTTCAACGGAACGCAATTGACGGAATGTCTGTGATTGGACGAACTTCGTTCCGCCAATTCCGCATTGCGCATACGTTCCGTATCATGGGACCGCACCATAAATGTCCTTAAAATATCATTGTAGACGCCGCTTAAGGCCGGGTCTACAACAGGTAATTTAAGCCTTAAGCCTTAAAAAATTGACCAATCACAATCAAGTATGAAGAAAATACTCGGCTGTGATTGGTCAATTTCTTAAAGCTAGCGTCAGACTATGCGTGATTCGTAATTCGCGATTCGTAATTCGCGATTCGTAATTCGTGATTCATAGAGATTCGTTGGAGATTCAGAAAGATTCGTTATTCGTCAGTGTAAACTTTCAACACTATTCGCGATTCGCGTGGATTGCCCGATTAGACACAGTACAATTAGACACAGCCAATCATATCGACCGATGCTTAGAGGCCTAGCACGGATCAATAGAGAGTCCGAGAGAGTCCTGTGTCCGATTTATTCTGTGCGCAACTGGGCCTCACTCAAAACGACGAATTATGAATTACGAATGATATATAGGGAATCGCGAATAGTGTGGAAGCTTTACATTGACGAATAACAAATCTCCCTGAATGTCCAACGAATTTCTATGAATCACGAATTACGAATCGGGAATTACGAATCGTGCATAATCTGGCGCTAGCTTTAGAGCTTAAATTATCTATTGTAGATCTAGAACTAAGGCTGAATCTGCAACAGACAATTTAAGACCTATGCCTTAAGAAATTGACCAATCGCAGTCGAGTATTCTCTTCATACTCAACTGTGATTGGTCAATTTCTTAAGGCTTAGGTCTTAAATTATCTATTGTAGATCCGATCTAAAGCGTCGTCTACAATGGCAGTAGGATTAATGGATTAAAGTTGTAACTTAAGGAATTGACCAAATACAGTCAAGCATTAAGAAAATACTCGACTGTGATTGGTCAATTTCTTGAGTTACAGCTTCAACTCATTAATCTTACTGCCATTGTAGACACGCTTAATGGGACTGCAATAGAAACAGGAAGTGGACATTCTCTGTCTTTTCGCGCATATTTACATTATTAAAATTTCTAAAAATATTTATATATAAGTAAATTATAATTTATAAATAAATGCGTTTATTTTTTAATGTTGCAAAAATAGTTAATTTAATGTTTGGAAAATTATAAATGTTTGGAATTTAAATTATAAATAATAATAGTTAAACTTAATTTATTAATTTCAATATGAATAATTTATTATTTACTTAATAATTAATTAATTAATTATTTATTTAGAGTTTATTTAATTTATTTATAATTTATAATTTAGCTTTATTAAAATAAAATCTGAAATTGTAAATTAAATAAATTAAATTTCTATATATTAAATAAAAATATATAAAGTAATAAGAAATAAGTAATAAAACAATAAGAAATATTTCTTGAATTTATTGTTAAACAAAATACATATGTACATGTGTATATATGTGTATTTACACATATGCATTTTGTTCAGATAATAATAAATTATAAAAAAGAGAGATACTATTCGTATTATATATTCCCTGTTTTAATAATGCATTACTTGTCGAGGAACATGTTTTCTTTAGAAGAGAATAGGCAATGTTTAGTTATATATGTCTGTAGATATAATATAATAATTATAATTTGGGATTAAATTCTACAAGATAAATCTTTATTTTGACTTAAATTAATAATTAATTTTATGTTTTAAATTTTATATTTTAAATTATTAATTTTATATTTTATCAAAGATTGAAAGTACTTTGTGTAATGATTTATTAATTTTTAATATACTTAAGTGGGGTCTATGCAATTCCTTCTTTAAAACTTTTGAAATCAATAGATCATCAAAGCAACAAAATATAATATCAATAATTAGTTTTGAAATAAAGATGATTTGTTTTACAAATATAAATATTTTAATATTTTATTATTCTTAACATTTTATTTATTTTTTAAAATGTTTTATTACGTAAATATATGTAAATATTTTAATATTTGTACTACAAATATATAAATATAAATATTTATATAAATATTTATATATTTATATAAATATTTATATAAATAAATATTTATATAAATATTAATATTGAACGAATTTTCTAAAACTCTATCATAATAATGTTACAGTGATTGTAAACAAAAAATTCATGAAAATAAGAATTTTAATTCTGCAAGGCATTTGAAGTAAAGATACTTTACTCACAAATTTACTTATTAATTTTATATCTTAAAGAGCTAAAAATACATTGATCGCGATATCAAAAATTCGACGTAACCAAAGTGCATTACCTCTTGAAAAATCTAGGAACCAGTGAATTAGAGCACCAATCAAAAACGCTGACACAGGTGTCCTAACTTTTACTCGAAGACTCTAGAGCTCGGCGAGCCAATGAAAAACCATCACTCGGTGCATCCTAACTTTTACCCGAGACTATATACTTCTACGAAAAGTGGGGGGGAGCAAGCGAAACACGGAGCGGAATAATCAGTTACGTACAGTTACGGTGAATCGTGTGACAGGCTGATGCGTCTCGTCGATGTTGCGTCCGCGTGATACGTCGCGTTCGCGTCGTTCATTGTCAAGCGTAGCAATAACAGCGTGTGTACACGCGGAAAACATGATCGGGAGGCAGGAACGTCGTGGTTACGTGGTCGTACGAAAGTTAATCCGAATTGAGTAATCGAGCGTCGCGGAAGTGAACATCGTCTAGCGTGGGCTCCTCGCTCTAGAATTTCAAGTGCGTGCATGCGTACGTACGTACGTACGTACGTACGTGCATACGTGCCAGCCAGCGGCCAATCAGCCGAGCGGTGTGAAAGTAGCCGCGATCCCCAGAGCGGGCTCGAGGAGTAACTGCGGGGCTCGTCGTTGCGTTCGAGACAACATGGCCTGCGATCGCGCCGAGAGCGACTTTGACTTTACGGTACCGCCAGAGGCGCCGGTATTCGAACCCACCAACGAGGAGTTTCACGATCCCCTCGCGTACATCGCGAAAATACGCCCGATCGCCGAAAGGTCCGGCATCTGCAAGATTAAACCGCCGCCCGTGAGTAGCCAGGACAATCCAAGCGCTTATGGCCCTTATTATTGTCATGGGATGTTTTATTTAAAATCGCACGAAAATGAGACGTAAATTGAATAATTCTTAACGGAGACTCTTGTTATCGTCCTCGAAACGAAGGATGTTAAATTTAAAAATGATGACTACTTTTTTTTCATATATTTATTTATTATGTATGATTTTTTTTATAATGATTAAAATGTACTTTTGTTGGCAGCAGTTGGGAGTTTTTTTAGAATATAATTAGCATATTTTTCTCTCGTGTAGCTATGATAGTAATTTCTGCAGGATAAGTAGAATCGCCAATGATTGCGATGACATTGGGATCAGAAAAAAAAAAGGAACCAAGGTTCTCGAGCGTTCACACTATTTTGAATATTTACGTTTGCGAAATGCAATTCCATGTAATTACTTTACATTGTTGCATCCGAGATGCGCGTCATAGAGAAAAAAAAATTAATTTATGCTGTTTCGAAATGCGAAATATGAAACAAGATGGAAAGAGAAAGATTTTACTATATTTCTTCTCTCTCTCTCTCTCTCTCTGTTTCTTTCTCTCGCTTTTGACTAGTATTGCACGAGGTATATTAATGATTGTAATTTTTTTGTAAAACGCATCTTCGACTGATAATAGCAATATTGATGAAAAAACAATACTAGTTACATTAATTCGAATACGTCTAATTAAATAAAAGACTGGCAAGCTAAAACTGCCAACGTTTTATAACGAAATGACAACGCCATGTGATAAAATGGCCGTGACAGTAGGATCTAACGATGTCACGTCGAGGAAATGTGGGAAAAATATTCTAAAACCAGAAAAAAATAAGGAGCAATTAATAAGAAGGTGGCTAGGTTCCTAAATTTCGGTGAAAAATATGTGCCTTTTTTCTAACCATTCCGAACTTGTTTCGGACCTGTCCTCGTTCGTTTTTCCACGAAATTGTTTCATGCAATTGCACTTGCGAAAATGTACAGAGTCTCGATTACATTGATTCCTGCGTGAGAATCTCTCCGCGTGACATAATTTTTTCTATCGTCACCTTTCACTCCGCGAGATCCTCGACCTTAGCAGGGATCTCCTTTGTACTATGGATTTCTAAAGATTTCATCGCGATTTTTTCATCCGACAATATCCTTCCTTAGGCAATTTGCTCTCGCATGCCGTTGATTTAAGCCACCATTAGAAACGATTTGAGCCACCATCTTGTTTCTGTATGCGCGGAAGAAAAATTAGGACCGGAAATCGAGCCTTTCCTCTTTACGACTTGAAGCGTAGGCCAGCACGAATATATTTGGACAAATTCGCGATGTACATATATTTCCAACAAGAATACGTGTCTTCGATGCAATTTCGTTCTGCTAAAATAAAATCAAAATCCTATTTGGAAAAGTCTTCCATAACACAAAACGTACAGTATTGGGAACACTTAAGAGCTTACATAATGGTAGCTTAATTATGAGCGTAATCCTCACGTACATATCAATTTGCCACATCAAATGAAATATACATTCGAAATTTTATATTTATTTTTCTTTTTATAAATATTTGTTCTCCGAATAATTTTATCTAATTTGGATTATATTTTTACAAAATTCTCATTATATTGATTTTCGAATCCTTGTTTCGCAAAGTGCAATAGAAAGAATGTACAATAAACGAAATATATATATACAGGGTGTCCCAAAAATCCCGGATCGGTCAAATATTTCATAAACTATGCACTTTAGAAAGAAATGTTTCAGACAAAAGTTGTATGGCTTGAAGGGGGCCATCAGATAGTGGCAATGATTTGACATGGGAGAATCATTTGAAAGTCACGTGAAGATCGCCGTTAATTTCTTAAATGGAACCCTCTATTTTTTATTACATATTCGTGTAGCTTATCTCGAAAGCTTTCCAAAACACTATAATAAAGTATTTCTTCATTGAGTACTTTTCGAGTTATAAGGCTCGAAATCATTTCTTAATTTTGCATAAACCAAAATATAGTAAAATATAGTAAAATATTCATTTTTCGATTATCTTACCTTAATAATTTTATGTACAAAATAATGAGAGGAATCAATTGGTGTAAAAAAAACACATAGTTGTTTTAAAAAAAATATGTAATTGTTAATTGCAAATTACATATTTTTTTCTTAAAAACAACTATGTTTAAAATAATTTTTTTTAACTAACTTTTATTTTATTTTCATAAAAGAAAAAGATTTTTATTTTTATCGTTTTTTTTCAAGAAATTTATTTAGTTTCATTTTCTTTTTATTTCATTTTCTTTTCACCTTTTGCTCTTCCTTCATCAGAGGTTTTTGAGCGATAACTTCTTAAGGAAGCATTTTTCGACCCATGTTTATAGAAAATTTTTTGTTCAGAATTAAATCCTTTCCTATAAAATCTCAAAGTCTTATTTCCTATAAAATCTCAAAGTCTGGCTGAAACGTTCGGGGCCACCCTGCATAATAGTAGCCTTTAATAATCGAGATACATCGTGTGCATACATTTGTCGAGAAAAATTAATAGATTATCACACATACATGTACACATATATAGGATGTATGATTACATGTATCCTCTCATTCTCTCGGGCAAGTGCCAAAAGCAAAGCGCCACGAACTCTCAAGTGATTATTGATTTTTATCTACGCCACAGCTAATCAATAGTTAATAATTAAATATTCAGCTACAGTCGATTGTTTATTTTCTTTGTTCAAGGCAATTTTTTGAAATTTGCTCCAGTGTATTTTTTGCTCCCATACAATCAATTGCGAATAATCCTATGCAATTTATAAGTATTATTACGTTTTTATCTAATCATTATTTGTGATATTGAATCACATGTATTTGAGTGTGATATAGATTTAAAATTGCTTTGTTTATCTAGTCTAACATTAAGACATGCATAAATAAGTGTAACGTAAAAATGTTTGAATTTCGTTGAAGACGTTAATGCGCAGTGCTACTTATTTTTCGAATAATTTTTATTATTATTATATTGATTGAAAAGTTGAATAAATTTAAAACTCGTCATTTCGTAAATAACGTAATTTTTCATTGATTTTTAAATATATTAAATACATATCGCATTTTTTTCAATTATTTAATAAACTTTGAAATAATTGAGAGAGGTAATACATTTCTTTTATCGACAAAAAGATAAAAAAATAAAAGATATTTCATGAAAATGGAATTTTTTATCTGGAGAAACAACACTCTTTGTTTCAAAATTATTCAAATATATACATATAATTGAAATATAAATGCAAGAGATCTATGATAAAGTTTGCTGATGTGTTGAATTATAAAATATTTTCCATCATTTATACCGCCTTTATGTGCTAAGACATTAATATTCTCGTATATGTACATATATATACATATATCAAGAAAAATTTCCCAAAAGATATTTTTAATTAGCCATAGTTGTAACATATTTTAGATATTTATTATGATTATTTTGGATTCTTATATATCATATATTTTTCAAGCATTTATTATTTCGTCACTTTTTTATCATCTTATCGTTATGATAAAATTTCAAATTTCTTTTTCATTTTACTAATACTTAAATTTTTTATTATTTAGGGATTTATTGGGAAAAATTTAAAAATACTATGAATCGTATGTGTGTGAAAAATGTATCATCAATACATGAATTAATAATTTAATAATAATTTAATATTGTTTAGAATTTATTTATTCAATTAGACTTATAATTTAATTTACTCAATTAAGTGATATTGATTTGTTCAATTTTTTTTCCTTCCCAGAAAAGGTACAGTTTAGCATAAAAATTAAATTTAAATTTTATGATTAAATGGAAAATATAAAGATTTATAATTAACAATCTATTTATATTGTCAGATAAAATCACATATATCATTTTTTTATATTTTTAAATTCAAGTAAATATTACTACGATATTATATTATCACACAAGGAAGCTTTCGGGGCATTTATCGATCATCTTGTTTCGTCGTTTCATCACATAATTCTTATGGACGGTTTATATACAGTGTATATATTTTTAGAAACACGATTCTACAATTTTTACGCGAGCATATATTATGCACTATTGATTAATAGTACGTATATATGTATATTATTTCATGATAGATATAATTTTTATTTTACTGCACTAAACAAATCATAAAGATTTTGAATCCACTGTGTAAAATAACAATTAATTTAACTGCCATTTTACAATGAAATAAAATGATGATCGTAATATATATCTTATCTTAAGTTATAGGACTTTCAATTTTCAATACAGGATTTTTTTATAAATTCCAAATATATATGATTTTGAAATATGAAGTGTTATATTGATATATGATGTTTTTTTATCTATTTTTTCTATCTTTTTTTTTATCTATCTATCTATTTTATCTATCTATTTTATCTATCTATCTATCTATCTATCTATCTTATCTATCTATCTATCTATCTATCTATCTATCTATCTATCTATCTATCTATCTATCTATCTATCTATCTATCTATCTATCTATCTATCTATCTATCTATCTATCTATCTATCTATCTATCTATCTATCTATATCTATCTATTTATCTATATATATATATATATCTATTTATCTATATATATATATATATATATATATATATATATCATATCATATCATATATCAATATACTTCATATCTTCTTATATATCAATATCATGTATACACATATATATATATATATATATATATATATATATATATATATGATATTGATATATAAGTAGATATGAAGTATATTGATATGAAGATATTTGTTAATGAACTTTAAAATCAAAATATTTTTAGAATCTTTTTAATAAATATAAAAATTTTTTTGAAATAAATATTATATAGATATTAAATAGATATAATAATATTAAATAGATATTTATTAATGAACTTTAAAATCAAAATATTTTTAGAATTTGATCTTTTCAATAAATATAAAAATAATTTTCTTGAAATAAATATTATATAGATATTAAATAGATATAATAATATTAAATAGATATTTGTTAATGTACTTTAAAATCAAAATATTTTTAGAATTTGATCTTTTCAATAAATATAAAAATAATTTTCTTATCAATAATTTTCTAATCAAATAAATCTACTTTAAAAAAATCATATTTTTTTTATAAGAAATATTTATAAGGTCTAACGTTTGTTGCAGAATTGGCAGCCACCATTTGCCGTGGACGTGGACAAATTTAAATTTGTTCCGAGAATACAAAGATTAAATGAATTAGAAGCTAAAACCAGGATAAAGCTTAATTTCTTAGATCAAATTGCAAAATTCTGGGAGCTCCAAGGTTCCTCCTTGAAGATTCCACTTGTAGAACGTAAGGCATTGGATTTGTATTCCTTACATAAAATAGTTACAGATGAAGGTCAGTTTTATTTATATATGTTTTATTTATTATATGTTTTATATTTTACAGACTCATAACTTTAATCGTTATTATGTTACAGGTGGTATAGAAACTGTAACAAAAGAAAGAAGGTGGGCAAAAATTGCCAATAAACTGGGTTATCCATCAGGTCGAAGTGTAGGCAGCATATTAAAAAATCACTATGAGAGAATTTTATATCCATTTGATGTTTTTAAACAGGGAAAAACATTGTCAGATATTGTAAGTCAAAGTTTCACCTGCAGAAAAAAAATTTATTTACAAAAACAAATTGTGAAATCAATTATTTATAATATAATTTAATTTAATTTAATTTAATAATATAATTTAATTATTGATAATAATAATTAATTTAATAATAATATAATTAATTATTTAATAATAATATAACTTAATAATTATTATTATCTAATAATTACTTGTGTGTGTAATTTTAATTTAATATAGAAGTGGTTTTGTTTGATACAGAAAATCGAGCCAGAATCAGACTTGAACGAGAAGAGGGATCGAGATTATAAGCCGCATGGTATAATATCTCGTCAGCAAATTAAACCGCCGAATGAGAAATTTTCGCGGCGATCGAAACGGTATTCCGGCCAAGAAGAGAAGCAGGATGTATCAATTAAACAAGAGGACTATAAAGAGGAATGCGACTCAGACAACGAATGCAAGGATAAAGTTAAAAGCAGGCATTTCACTTTTGAAACGGATAAAAGCAAGGAGCTTAAAAAATTACAATTTTATGGAGCAGGACCGAAAATGGCAGGTTTTAATACCAAAGAGGGAAAGAAATCTAATAAGACACGCGGTTTGAAGCTTGTTTACGAGTTTGATCCTGTAAATATAATTTAACAATCTCCTATATTGTGCATTTTTAGAAAATTAAATCAGATAATTTAATTAGATTTAATTAGATATTAATTATCTTTTTATCTTTTACTTAAGTTGGCAAAATACATTTGTCACAATTGTGGAAGAGGTGACAATGAAGAGAACATGCTGTTGTGCGACGGTTGCGACGACAGCTATCACACTTTTTGCCTTATGCCGCCTTTAACAGAAATACCAAAGGGTGATTGGCGATGTCCTAAATGCGTCGCCGAAGAAGTCTCTAAGCCTATGGAGGCTTTCGGCTTTGAACAAGCGCAAAGGGAATACACATTGCAGCAATTCGGAGAAATGGCCGATCAATTTAAAAGTGACTACTTTAATATGCCTGTTCATGTAAGTTCTTATTGTTTAGACCAAATTACAAAATGTATTTTAAAAGATTACAGTGAATATAAAATAACACATATGTATATACAGGGTTTTCGAAAAGACCGGAAACGGTCGAATATCTAAAAAATAAAGCATTTTAGAGAAAAATGTTTCAAATAAAAATTGTTTGGTTTAAAGAGAGCTATAAAATGATGGCAATGATTTGACCTTGAATAAAAAAAATATGTAATTTGCAATTAACAATTACATATTTTTTCTCAAAAACAACTATGTCTTTTATTTACACTAATTGATTCCTCACATTGTTCTGTGCATAAAAGTATTAAGTTAAGATAATCGAAAAATGAATATTTTACTAGATATTATGGTATATGTAAAATTAAAAAATTATTTCAAGCCTCATAACTCGAAAAGTACTTAATGAAAAAATACTTAGTTATAGTGTTTTGGAAAGATTTCGAGATAAGCTACAAGAATATGCAAAAAATATATAGGATGTTCCATTTAATAAATTCAAGATGACCTTCATGTGACCTTCCAGCGACTATTCAAGGTCAAACCATTGCCATCATTTTATAGCTCTCTTTAAACCAAATAATTTTTATTTGAAACATTTTTCTCTAAAATGCTTTATTTTTTAGATATTCGACCGTTTCCGGACTTTTCGAAAACCCTGTATGTATATATGTGTCTACATATAATATAGAGTGCCCTGAATTTAAATATCAAAATTTTGAGAGCATATGAAGAATAAATTAAGTAAAAAAATCTTTTTGCTTCTTTTTATTTCGTTTTGGAATCGCAATCTTATTTACTTATGTTGTCAATTTTTTGTAATGAAGATATTTAAAATATAAGTAATATAAATATATAAACATAAACAAACTATAGTAAACAGGATACAATAATCCTATATTGGCATGTATTTATTTACGATTTTCTAATTTTACTTTAAAATGATTTTAATTCACTCTCTTTTCTTAATTCTATGCTCTAGAACTTTTCGATAAATTTTATAATTTTAATTTTTATGTTTTTTTGATGAAAACTTTTTTTTCCATTTTCTCCAAAATGAAGCAAAAATGATCAAATCTTTAAAGAGATCTCTAAACTTTTTTTCTTTATTTACTGATCTCCTGAAATTTTGACATTTAAATTTGGGATATTGTATATTTATTTTATATTTATCTTCTATTTATTGTATTTAATAAGTTTTTGTTTGCAGATGGTTCCAACATCATTGGTGGAAAAGGAGTTCTGGCGAATAGTTTCATCTATCGATGAGGATGTGACTGTAGAATATGGCGCTGATTTGCATACGATGGATCATGGATCTGGATTTCCGACTAAGACCAGTGTCAATTTATTCACCTGCGATCAGGAATATGCCGAATCTTCATGGAATTTAAATAATTTGCCAGTCTTGCGTGGCAGCATCCTAGGTCATATTAATGCTGATATCAGCGGCATGAAAGTTCCTTGGATGTATGTTGGCATGTGCTTTGCCACATTCTGTTGGCACAACGAAGACCATTGGAGTTATTCCATCAATTATTTACATTGGGGCGAACCAAAAACATGGTACGGTGTACCTGGCTCTCAGGCAGAGCGCTTTGAACAATCCATGAAGTCCGCTGCACCAGAACTGTTTCATAGTCAGCCTGATTTATTGCATCAGCTCGTTACCATCATGAATCCGAACATATTGACGAGCGAAGGTACATCACTGTTCATTAAGCTTAAAATTAACAAGAAAAGTTCTAATAAATTAAAAGAAGGAATAAGATGTTTTTATTTCGTTAAAAGAAAAATTGAATAAATTTGGCTAGGATTTCCTATTAATTTGTTTATATCTATTTAAAATAATTTTTTTACTAAATATAGATTGTTTATTTTATACCTATTTGAAATAAATTTTTTACTGAAAAACTTTTCTAAATATATGTGTATCAAAATATATGTATCAAAATAATTTTATAATTATTCATTAGGAGTGCCAGTATTTAGAACAGATCAGCATGCAGGCGAATTTGTCGTGACATTTCCAAGAGCATATCACGCAGGTTTTAATCAGGGTTATAATTTTGCTGAAGCCGTCAATTTCGCACCTGCAGATTGGGTATGTAAATTGTTGCGCAATCAAATTCGCTTTTTTAGGCCTTATTGAATTAAAAATATGATTAAATATAATGTATTATAATTAAGATAATGTATTAATATATTCAAGAATTCAATTTAATTATTTAAGTACAAATAAAAGGCATTACTTGTATAAATAGAATGTATTCTATTATAATTTTGTGATTTATATATTTAAATATTTAAATTTCATGCAAATTATAATAAATTATATATCTTATTCTAGCTTAAGGTTGGACGAGATTGTATCACGCATTATTCGAATTTGAGGAGATTTTGTGTATTTTCTCACGATGAGTTAGTTTGTAAAATGTCATTGGATCCAGATTTGCTAGATATTGGTATTGCAACAGCTACATATTATGATATGCTGCAAATGGTTGAAGATGAAAAGAAATTACGAAAAAACTTGCTGGAATGGGTAAGTCTATATCTATTTTCTATATTTTTTGCTAAATAATATTTGAAGTCTATATAATCAATTATTATTATCATAAATTTCTAACAATAAGTGAAAAACTTTTGACATTCTACATGAAATATTTTTTAATAAGAATTTATTTTGAGTCTTTAAATATTTAGCTTTAATATTTTTGTTGTTTAATTTTTAATTAAATATATTTATTTTAATTAAATATATTTATTTATGCTTATGTATTATAATTATTAATTTATATTATTCATGTTATTAGTTGTATTTATTTGTATTAGGTCTATTTATTTATATTATTACTTATATATTTATAAATATTAATGCATATACATACACTTATATGCTGCTTATATAAAGTGTTTGATATGTAATTCCAAGATTTAAAACCACTGTACATGAAGAAGTTTTAATTGTAACTATAAGACTCTAAGCAAAAATCGAGCAATCACAATCATTCTCACTAGTAAATGCTTAATTGTGATTCATTATTACATTTATAGTCTTACGATTGGCTAAAACTTTTTTACATGTAATAGCTTTTGAAGAAAGAAAAATTTTATGAGACTCTATATATGTATTCCATACTAATCATATGCATACTCTACATTTAACACTAAATAGCTGATTCTATGTTTTATTTAATTTATAAGGATATCCTCGTATGTGTAGTTTGATTTTTCACACAAGAAATCAATAGGTTTGTTCTTTTGTTGCTTCTTGCACTTTTCTTTCCTCTCTTTCTCTTCAACTTCCAAAATATACAGTACAAATGTTTTTAAAAATATACTCAGTTATTTTTTTTTAAGTAATAGAATTTTTAAAATGTGTTTTGAATAAAAGTTTTATATTGAAAATCTATATGATATGTAAATTAAAGAAAAATAAAAAATTTTAAATTATTTACTCTCAAATATTGTCTATAATTTTTTTAATAAAATATTATATCTATTTTGTTGTAGTTCTAAAGTGTACGAGAAATACAATAATATGCAATAAAGTGAGATATTTAATAGTGAGATATTTAATAATCATTCATAAGATATTGTTACTGTCATGTTGCTTTTTTTATATGAGCAGAAAAAAATTCTATTATTAAAAAAAAAAGAAAGAAAACATTCTATTATTATTATTTAAACAATTTACAATTATTATAATTATTTAATTATTATTCTTATTACTTCTTTATTATGGTTAATTATTTAAACGGTTTTAATAATTTAAACAATTATTATTGTTAATAATTATTTAAAAAAGCCTATATATTAGTTATTTAAAATAGTTATTAACTAAATTATTATCTGCATATCATTAAAAAAAAATAACCGAGTATGTACACTTAAACTGGAAGCACATTGTACAGAAGGCATCATTAATGTTTTCTCGCCCCTTAGAATGATAAGTAGCATTGTATCTTAGTTATTTGTACATCATGGTTCAAGAAATTTTTACATAATTATGTAAGTAAATACGTACACACACGCACACACACACGGTTTCAAAAAATGGTTTTAAATCTTTTTCAGTATAGAAAAAAATGGTTCAGAATTTTTGGACTCAGTTTTCCACCAGGAATATCTCTATATATTTATATATAGAGATATTCCTGGTGGAAAACTGAGTCCAAAAATTCTGAACCATTTTTTTCCCACTATTTAGTGGGCGCCAATTAAGTGATATCCTGTGTGTATGTGTGTGTGTATATATATATATACAGGGTGTTTCATTTTAATTTCCCCAGGCAAATATTTCGGAAAATAATGAAAAATCGAAAAAATGTTTCAGACAAAAGTTGTATGGTTTCTAGGGGGACATAAGATATTAATTTGATCTTGAAGAGTCACATGAAGGTTACGGAAAGGTCATTTTGAATTTCTTAAATGGAACACCCTATATATTTTTACATATTCTTAGCTTATCTCGAGAGCTTTCCAAAACACTATAAATAAACATTTTTTCATCAAGTACTTTTCGAGTTATGAAGCTTGAAATCATTTCTTAATTTTACATAAACCATAAAATATCTTGTAAAAAATATTCATTTTTCGATTATCTTACCTTAATACTTTTATGTACAAAATAATGAGAGGAATCAATTGATGTAAAGAAAACATACAGTTGTTTTTAAGAAAAAATATGGAATTGTTAATTGCAAATTACATATTTTTTCTTCGAAATAATTATGTGTTTTCTTTACACCAATTAATTCCTCTCATTATTTTGTACGTAAAAGTGTTAAGGTAGGACGATCGAAAAACGAATATTTTACAAAATATTTTACGGTTTATGTAAAATTAAGAAATGATTTCAAGTCTCATAACTCGAAAAGTACTTGATGAAAAAATGTTTATTTATAGTGTTTTGGAAAGCTCTCGAGATAAGCTACAAGAATATGCAAAAATATATAGGGTGTTCCATTTAAGAAATTCAAAATGACCTTCACGAAACCTTCATGTGACTCTTGAAGGTCAAACTAATGGCACCATCTTATGTCCCCCAAAGAAACCATACAACTTTTATCTGAAACATTTTTTCGATTTTTCATTATTTTCCGAAATATTTGCCTGGGGAAATTAAAATGAAACACCCTATATATATAAGAGTGGCCCAAAAGTTCCGGACCGGTCGAATATTTCATAAACTATGCACTTTAGAAAGAAATGTTTCAGACAAAAGTTGTATGGCTTGAAGGGGGTCATCAGATAGTGGCAATGATTTGACATGGGAGAGTCATTTGAAAGTCACGTGAAGATCACTGTCAATTTCTTAAATGGAACTCCCTATTTTTTATTACATATTCGTGTAGCTTATCTCGAGAGCTTTCCAAAACACTATAATAAAGTATTTCTTCATTGAGTACTTTTCGAGTTATGAGGCTTGAAATAATTTCTTAATTTTGCATAAACCATAAAATATCTAGTAAAATATTCATTTTTCGATTATCTTACCTTAATACTTTTATGTACAAAATAATGAGAGGAATTAATTGGTGTAAAGAAAACACATAGTTGTTTTTAAAAAAAAAATGTAATTGTTAATTGCAAATTACATATTTTTTTCTTAAAAACAACTATGTTTTTTCTTTACACGAATTGATTCCTCTCATTATTTTGTACATAAAATTATTAAGGTAAGATAATCGAAAAATGAATATTTCACAAGATATTTTACGGTTTATGTAAAATTAAGAAATGATTTCAAGCCTCATAACTCGAAAAGTACTTGATGAAAAAATATTTATTTATAGTGTTTTGGAAAGCTCTCGAGATAAGCTACAAGAATATGCAAAAATATATAGGGTGTTCCATTTAAGAAATTCAAAATGACCTTCACGAAATCTTCATGTGACTCTTCAAGATCAAACTAATGGCACCATCTTATGTCCCCCTAGAAACCATACAACTTTTGTCTGAAACATTTTTTCGATTTTTCATTATTTTCCGAAATATTTGCCTGGGGAAAGTAAAATGAAACACCCTATTATATATATATATATATAATATATATATATATATATATATATATATATATATATATATATTTCTTGAATCAACAGTCATGACGTACAAATAATTAGAGGCGATACTTCTAGCCATTATTCGAAAGAAGCAAACTTAAGAAACTAATGATGCCTTCTATACATCTCCATCTCACTTGATCTCATTTCTGTTTAGCTACATACAAGAACAAACCTAATGATATCGCGCTTAAACGCGCGGTCTCATTTCCAACATCGAAGAAATCGCCACATGCGAACACTGCCAATATATCCCCCACGAGAAAGAGAGATCAACATATTCAGGTCAAGCAGTACATACGGAGCGCGCGCTCGTAGCTCACATATGTACACATGCACACGTGGCGTGCGTGCGTATACGCGCTGTATTGTCGTTGGACGTGTTGGAGTTGGCATCGGACTGACCGATCTCGTCCACGTTTATATAGATCCTAATTAATGCCGCCACGTATTTTTTATGTTCTCTCAAGATTCTGTCGATTTATCATGTTTTCATCATCGATGTTATATTCGTAGTTCGCTTTACCGTTAGCCCTCATCGAAACCGATGCCCATTTGTCAGACGCGTCTCGGCAATTCTAGATTATGTAACTCAACGTACGTACATAGCGTACAGAGGGTTATGTTTTCGAAGCCTTGTGTGCCATGATGCTAAACACGCATCTTGTCACTTATGCGTGAAATTAAGGGAATAGGGAGGGAGAGGATTTTTCGGTGACTTTGAATTTCGGTTGAACCTGCTCTTCTCGTTCTAGGGCGTGACGGAAGCGGAACGGGAGGCGTTCGAGCTTCTACCGGACGATGAGAGACAGTGCGAGGCATGCAAGACTACTTGCTTCCTGAGCGCGGTTACATGCTCGTGTCATAACTCGCAGTTGGTGTGTTTAAGACATTTCGCTGATCTGTGCACCTGTCCACCAGAGAAGCACACTTTGCGTTATCGGTATACGTTGGACGAATTGCCAATCATGCTACAGAAGCTAAAACTGAAGGCCGAGTCGTTCGACTCGTGGGTGACCAAGGTGAAGGAGGCGATGGATCCCAAGAATGATAAGATTGAGCTGAGCGAATTGAGGGAGCTTCTCAACGAGGCTGAGAACAAGAAATTCCCTGAGAGCGAATTACTCACAGCTCTAACCACCGCTGTGCAAGATGCTGAGAAGTGTGCGAGTGTTGCGCAACAGCTGTTGAACAATAAACAGCGTACAAGGTTGATGGAATAAAAATTTTATTAAAAATGTCACTCACGAATATAAAATTAAATATACAGGGTGTGCCAAAAGTCCCGAACTGCTCGAATATTTCATAAACTATGCACTTTAGAAAGAAATGTTTCAAACAAAAGTTGTATGGCTTGAAGGGGGCCATCAGATAGGCAATGATTTGATAGAGATTTGGGAGAGTTATTTGAAAGTCACATGAAGATCACCGTCAATTTCTTAAATGGAACTCCCTATTTTTTATTACATATTCGTGTAGCTTATCTGGAGAGCTTTCCAAAACACTATAATAAAGTATTTCTTTATTGAGTACTTTTCGAGTTATGAGGTTTGAAATCATTTCTTAATTTTGCATAAACCATAAAATATCTACTAAAATATTCATTTTTCGATTATCTTACCTTAATACTTTTATGTACAAAATAATGAGAGGAATCAATTGGTGTAAAGAAAACACATAGTTGTTTTAGAAAAAAATATGTAATTGTTAATTGCAAATTACATATTTTTTCTTCGAAACAATTATGTGTTTTCTTTACACCAATTGATTCCTCTCATTACTTTGTACATAAAAGTATTAAGGTAAGAGAATCGAAAAATGAATATTTTAAAAGACATTTTACGGTTTATGTAAAATTAAGAAATTATTTCAAGCCTCATAATTCGGAAAGTACTTAATGAAAACTAACTTAATTATAGTGTTTTGGATAGCTCTCGACGTGAGCTACCAGAATATTTAATAAAAATAGGGAATTCCATTTAAGAAATTGACGATGATCTTCACGTGACTTTCAAATGACTCTCATGTCAAATCATTGCCACTATTTGATGGTCCCCTTCAAGCCATACAACTTTTGTCTGAAACATTTCTTTCTAAAGTGCATAGTGTGTATAGTGTGCATAGTGTGTGTGTATAGTTTATGAAATATTCGATCGGTCCGGGACTTTTGGGACATCCTGTATAAATTGGTACAAATGGCAATATGAGTCTAGTGTCGATATTGTTACACCGTTATTTATTCTATAAAAAACAATCATAAAAACATTCATTTAATAAATATACATATGAGTGGTGATTGGCAGTTTCGACCCTATTTTGGGTCATCTTCAGCGCAAATGTAAACGGACTAAATAATAATACAGTAGAATTGTTACATAATTGAAGTTAAGTATGCAGGACTAAAAATATGTTACAGCTGAATGATGCGGCTCATTGTCATTTTGATGATGTTTCCAGACATTGAAAATATTGGCGGACTATGAAGGTGAAGAGAGACCGATCATCATTTCTAACGACAAAATTCGACTAGTCTTGTGCTGAAGATGATTTTCCAAATTTTTATTAAATGAATGTTTTTATATGATTGTTTTTTATACAATAAATAAGGGTGTAAGAATAGCGACACTAGACTCATATTGCCATTTGTACCAATTTATATATTTAATAAAAATTTTATTTTTGTAGAATTTTGTGACGATGATTCGTGCAATTTTATTTGCTTTTATACAATTCTAGGACTAGGCAATCGGTTGATACCAAGTATAAACTCACTGTAGAAGAATTAACACTTTTTTACAAGGAGATCACCAATTTGTGCTGCGAACTTAAAGAGTCGGATGGTGTAAAGTTTATACTTGATCAAGTATTGCAGTTTCAAAAGGATGCGGAGGAATTGGAGTCGAAAGATGAAGAGTGTGATGTTGACAAATTGAAGAAATGCATCGAATTTGGAGACTCTATTTGCATTGATCTGCCTCAACTTGTGCTATTGAAACAAGTATGTAATAGTAAAAATATATAGTTTTGTCTCTTGAAGAAAGATTAGATATACATAGATTACATTTTCTTTGTTTCGCAGAGATTAACACAGATACAGTGGCTAGAAGAAGTAAAATCCCTCCAAGACGATCCGAAAGCAGTCAGCCGCGAAGAGGTGGCCAAGCTAATCGAGAAAGGCATGACGATACCGCCTCATTTTAGAATCGAAAATACACTGTCGGAATTGCATGCTTTAACAAAAGCAATTGATAAATGGGAAGAGAAGGCTAAAATATTTCTTCACTCGAAAAATAGACGAACAATTACCAATGTGGAAGAATTTATTCACGAGGCAGATGAAGTCGAGGCATACTTGCCGAGCTTAGATAGTCTTCAAGATACACTGAATAAGGCAAAAAATTGGACAAAGCTCGTAGATGACATACAAACGAAAGAGAATTTTCCATATTACGACACTCTGGACGACCTGATAAGGAAAGGCAGAAATATTTCGTTGCATTTGGATGCTCTTCCGACACTGGAAGCTACGCTATCACAGGCAAAAGCATGGAAAGAGAGAACTGCGAGAACATTCCTGAGGAAAAACTCCCACTACACGTTAATGGAAGCTCTATCTCCGCGAATTGGTGTTGGTGTGCAAGCGATGAAGACTAAAAAGCATAAGGGCGATGAGTCCGTAGGGGCTGTTTATGTCTGTGATACAAAATTGGATGACTCTAGTGATTCGGCGAATGTGGTTGCTGCCTTTAAACTAGCAGAGCAACGCGAGATGGAGGCAATGAGAAGCTTGAGGGAGAGAAATCTGATGAAGATGAAAGCCGAAGTGGAAGATTCCAAATACTGCGTTTGCCGGCGACCAAGATTTGGCATTATGCTTCAATGTGAGCTTTGCAAAGATTGGTTTCACAGTAAGTATGGCAGCATATACAGGATGTTCCAAAAGTCCTGGCCCGGTCGAATATTTCATAAACTATGCACTTTAGAAAGAAATGTTTCAGACAAAAGTTGTATGGCTTGAAGGGGGCTCTCAGATAGTGGCAATGATTTGACATGGGAGAGTCATTTGAAAGTCACGTGAAGATCACCGTCAATTTCTTAACTGGAACTCCCTATTTTTTATTACATATTCGTGTAGCTTATCTCAAGATCTTTCCAAAACACTATAATAAGGTATTTCTTCATTGAGTACTTTTCGAGTTATGAGGCTTGAAATCATTTTTTAATTTTACATAAACCGTAAAATATCTTGTGAAATATTCATTTTTCGATTATCTTACCTTAATACTTTTATGTACAAAATAATGAGAGGAATCAATTCGTGTAAAGAAAAAACATAGTTGTTTTTAAGAAAAAATATGTAATTTGCAATTAACAATTACATTTTTTTTTAAAATAACTACGTGTTTTTTTTACACCAATTGATTCCTCTCATTATTTTGTACATAAAAGTATTAAGGTAAGATAAATGAATATTTTACTAAATATTTTATGGTTTATGCAAAATTAAGAAATGATTTCAAACCTCATAACTCGAAAAGTACTCAATGAAGAAATACTTTATTATAGTGTTTTAGAAAGCTCTCGAGATAAGCTACACGAATATGTAATAAAAAATAGGGAGTTCCATTTAAGAAATTGATGGTGATCTTCACGTGACTTTCAAATGAAACTCTCCCATGTCAAATCATTGCTACTATCTGATGGCCCCCTTCAAGCCATACAACTTTTGTCTGAAACATTTCTTTCTAAAGTTCATAGTTTATGAAATATTCGACCGGTCCGGGACTTTTGGGACACTCTGTACATCGTAAATCATAAGAAAACATGATTTTTGCTATTATTAATCATCAATTTTTGCAGCAAACTGCGTGCCTTTACCTAAGACATCATACAAAGGTAAACCTCCAGGTCCCAGGGACATAAAATTCTTATGTCCATGTTGTCTACGTTCTCGACGACCTCGTCTAGAGACGATACTAGCCCTCTTAGTGAGTCTCCAGAAAATTCCAATTCGATTGCCAGAGGGAGAGGCATTGCAATGCTTGACTGAACGTGCAATGAATTGGCAGGTAAGTATATATCAATTTTTAATATTGTTTAACTAATTGATATCTATATAACATAAATAAACATAATATAGGATCGAGCGAGACAAGCATTGGACACTGAAGAGATCTCATCGATATTGGCAAAACTTTCTGTGATGTCGCAAAAATTAGTTGAAGCGGCAGCGAGAGAGAAAACAGAAAAAATAATCAGCAGCGAGTTAAAGAAGGCAGCAAATAATCCTGAATTACATCAAAGAGTGCAAGCCATCGCACCTCTCAGTGGAGTGCATTCGGATGATAGCACACTTAGTACTGCTGTGAGTATCAATTGTGTGACTTGTCGATTTATATTTTCATCTTTTACATTATAAATAATATTGTAATTAATAATATAATATAATGTATAAAATATAAAATGTATAAACTATATTTTTAATATTGTAGGATGACGATGATGATGTCATTGCTATGGATGACGAACCGACGTGTAGTACCTTCAACAGCAACGAACATGCATATTCATATAGTAAGTTTTTAATTGTAACAAAGATATACGATATATTTGAAATACATTGAATAATAATTATGTTTTGTGTTATTACTTTAGTTTCAAAAATTCGGCGGAAAGTTCAATCGGATGACAGCGGTGGCGAGTCGTTTGGCCTATTATCGTCAAACGCGAGATTACGTTTAGAGGAACTGATGATGGAGGGCGATTTGTTGGAAGTTGCTTTAGACGAGACGCAACATATCTGGCGTATTTTAAGTCACATGAATAATCATAACACTATGCGAAAGTATAAGTCATTGGAAGAGGTTCAAGTGAATCCCAATCAGGAGATAAAAGACATAAAAAAACGAGGAAGGAAGCGGAAGGAGGAATTCGAATTGTTGAAAAAAATTGGACGGCAGAAAGTCGAAGAGAAAAACGCGATTAAACGAAATAAAAGCAATCCTGTCATTAAGGAGAAGAGACAGAGCAGTTCACCGGTTCTCATGAAACGTGGACCTCGTAAGGTATTTGACTCTCTCTTTCTTTCTAATTTATATATCAATAAATTTTTATTTTATTCACACACATATAAGGAAATTATTAATTTATAAAAAAAATACAAGATGTAACTCATACCCTTTAAACACATAACGGGAGAATCTTGTTAGCATAGTTGAATAACATATATCCATTCATATATCAATTGATAAAATTTCTAAATTTTTAAAATTCTCTCTTAAAAATGTTTCTCTCTATTTTGTACCTTTCTCTTATCAATGTTTTTTTTCTTATCAATGTTGATAATTTTGTCCTTATAATGTAAGCAGTTGGTAATTGCCTGATAAGCCAAATTGTAAATTATGTCTTTAAGATATAAATATATCTCTCTTTATATATTCAATGTATAATTGCATAGCTACTTATGTTTATATATTTTTAATAAAGTATTGAATATGCATACATATTCTTTATTTTAACTTTTAATGATAAATGAAAATATTATGCAAGTGTAAAATATTTATTTTCCATTCAGCTTTTTTTGATACATTTGTAAATCTAATTTAAACTTAAAGGGCTTTGTGTTTTTTTCTTTTGTATGAAAAATTGCACCAAAAAAATCTTTAAAATATATATATATATATTTATTTATTTATTTATTTATTTATTTATTTATTTATTTATTTATCTAAGCAATATATATTTTAAATCGAAATAGTTTATGACAAATGATTATAATTGATATTATAATTGATACAATTTACTTTTTGAATATCAGTATGAATTCAATCAAATATGAATTACAGATGAAGCGTAAGAGTGAAGGTGATGAAGGTCCTAGGAAGCGAGGTGGTAATCGCACGAAAAAAACCAAACAAGAAAGCTCAGATGAAGAGGATGACTGCGCAGCGGTTAACTGTTTGCGGCCTAGTGGTAAGGATTATTTTCTATATATTAGTAACGTAGTTGTGATAATGATGTTAAGTTACAAATGTTTTAAACATAATAATAATGCTTTAAACATAATTTTATATTATTATATAAAAATATCATAAATTGTCTACACAATAAATATTATCAATGTGTACATAAATTTTTTAGATTAAATATCGCATATTACATAATTTGTGCATATACTTGATTGATTGTGTATGTGTGTGTGCGCGCGCACATTTTAAAAATTAGATATTATTTAAAATTACGTTTTCTTTTAATGTTTCAAAAGATATATTATTTTATTTTGTTGTTTAGGTAAAGAAGTTGATTGGGTTCAGTGTGATGGTGGCTGCGAAGGTTGGTTCCATATGCATTGTGTTGGTTTGGATCGTACAGAAATTGCTGAAGAAGACGATTATATTTGTAGCAATTGTAAAGAAGTCGATCAAAATGCATCGGTAAGAGAAAAAATGTTCGCAAAAACATGAATCGTATTTTGCTCTATTTTTCTTTTATCAGATTCTGTATGTTTTCGAATTATGAGTTTTTATTTTTCTATTAGTATCTTATGATCTAATTTTTTACATTTTATTTTGTGAATTACACACACATACACGAGATCTGTCTGGAAAATATTCTTGAACTTTTCAGAAAATAGACCATTTTCTGACTCGTATAAGAACTATTCAATCTTGTTATATTTAAAATGTTTCTTTTTAAATCCATCTGTCATATATCTTTTTTAAATACCTTGTTTAAAGTTCTTTTTTCAAATTTATCTGTTATATATCAACTTTCTTTTATGAAATGTTTTTATGAAATTATGAATATTTTTGTAAGTTTCACAAAATCGTTGCATCAATTCACGATAATTTATTCATTGTTTTGCTTGTCGGAAAAATTTATAGTGAACTATATCTTCAGAATTGAAAAAAAAAGATTGTTAGCATGAATATAATGTTTGATCGCATTTGCCGTGTTTTAAAAACTTTTCTATCACTCATATATTGCAATCTTAAGGTCTTATCTCCAAAAAATATTTTCAATATTTCAAATATTTATAAAAGATTTTTTTAATTGCACACAAAATTTTACACAAATTTTTTGTTCCTTCAAATTACTCATTTTAATCAAACAAAAAATCGCCAGATACATTAAACATGTACTATAAAAACAGACTAAATACAACTAGGCGAAATAGAACAATAACATTTTCTAGAAATTTTACTAGTTAAGAATAGAATAACCGTTTTATTGACGTTCTTTTATTTGAAAATTTCGTAAAAATCATACATTAATATGAAAATATCACAAATTTTCTAAACAGATTATATACATATATGTGTACAAAAGATGAATCATTGAATATATTGTTTGCAAAATAATTGAATATACATCAAACAAAAAATGTCCAAATATAAATTGTTGTTTGATTTCGAGGGAAAAAAGCACGATTTTTTTTTTATTTTGAATGAACCTGCAATTTCAAAATCATTTAAAGATCAACTTTAATTTTTTTAATACAAACTTTTTTACATATTTTTCACATATTTGTACGTAAAAATTAAAACTTATTCTCTCCGCGACATTTTTCTCCTATCCAAGTACTATAATTTTTAAAATATTTCAAACTGAATAAATTATTTTTTTCTTATTTTTTGGATGCTTACTTGGAAAACTTCATTCAAGATAAAAAAAATAAGTCATATTTTTTCTTCTTGAAACATCTTTTGAAAAATATTTTCGTTTGATATTTGTATGTTTCTTCAGTTATTTTTAAAAGATATTAAAATGACTGACCTTGTATATAGGGTGTTCGGAAATTCAACCGACAAATTTTCAGAGATTATCGGGGGCACCATAAAAATAACTTTTTGTAAATGAACCTGGGGTCGAAAATTTGTCATTACATCGCTACGGCATACGGAGTGTTCAAAAGAGTCGGGACCTCGAAATATCACAAAAAGTAAAAGTTTTACAAAAAATTGTTTCAAACAAAAGTTGTAGGATGTAAAAAGGTCTATTTATTGGCGCCATGTGTTTGACCTTAGATGGCGTCGCCAAGGTCACCTTGAATTTTTGAAATGGAACTCTCCACTTTTTATTGCATATTCTTGTAGCTCATCTCGAGAGATTTCCAAAACACTATAATTAAGTTAATTTTTATTAAGTACTTTCCGAGTTATGAGGCTTCAATCATTTCTTAATTTTACATAACTGTAAAATATCTTGTAAAATATTCATTTTTTTATTGTCTTACCTTAATACTTTTATGTACAAAATAATGAGAGAAACCAATTGGTGTAAAGAAAACACAGTTATTTTTAAGAAAAAAAATGTAATTGTTAATTGCATTTTTTCGAAACAATTATGTTCCTCTCATTATGTTGTACATAAAAGTATTAAGATAACATAATCGAAAAATGAATATTTTACAAGATATTTTACAGTTTATGTAAAATTAAGAAATGATTTCAAGTCTCATAATTCGGAAAGTACTTAATGAAAACTAACTTAATTATAGTGTTTTAGAAAACTCTCGAGATGAGCTACAAGAATATGCAATAAAAAGTGGAGGGTTCCATTTCAAAAATTCAATTTGGCCTTGTCGTGACCTTGGCGACGCCATCCAAGGTCAAACACATGATGTCAGTAAATAGATGTTTTTGCACTCTACAACTTTTATTTCAAACAATTTTTTGTAAAACTTCTATTTTTTATGATATTTCGAGGTTCCGACTCTTTCGAAAACTCCGCATGACGTAGCGATGTAATGACACGTTTCCGACCCCAGGTTCATTTGCAAAAAATAATTCTTATAGTGCCCCCGACAATCTCTGAAAATTTGTCGGTTGAATTTCCGAACACTTTGTATATGTATCTGTGCGCATGCGTGCGTGCGTGTACACACACACAGGATGTTTCATAAGTGGGCAAAATTTCAGGAATGGATTCCTCATGTTTAGAGAAGAAAAAAAAGTTAATCAACATAAATCCGAAAATGACTAGTTTTTGAGTTATTAAGATTTTTGTAATACAAAATTTTGTCTCATTTCTTATCTTAGAAGTTTTAGAAGTCTTTTTACAGGCATCAACAATGTTTTTCAAGTTCGACAGTCTGAAAAACATTGTTGATGCCTGTAAAAGGACTTCTAAGACGAGAAATAAGACAAAATTTTATATTACAAAAATTTTAATAACTCAAAAACTAATCATTTCCGGACCTATGTTGAATAACTTTTTTTTTTCTCTAAGCATGAGGAATCCACTCCTGAAATTTTACCCACCACTTATGAAAAACCCTGTATATACAGAGTGTCCCTGAACATGAGCTCACGCACTTGTGAGGAGGTAGAGGGCAGTAAATTAAATAAAAAAATCCTATTCCATGTAAATTGCTATGCTATAGCTCGAGCGGTCGTGCTTCTCTCATTTGTTCGATTTTAATAATTAATATTTCTATTATTATTACAAAAATCGTTACGTGGAATACGATTTTTTTATTTACTGCGCTCTACCTCCTCACAAGTGCGTGAGCTCATGCTCAGCATATATATATATATATACAGGGTGTCCCGAAACTTATAATCAATTTTTCAAAGATAGATTCCTGGAATCATCTGAAGACGATTTTTCCTCAACGAAAATGTCGAAGCACTAATAATTTTCGAATTATAAGTGATTGGAAATAAGGGGTTTTTCGTAAACTAAGCTTTGTAGAAATAAAATATTAACAAAACCACATTCTTCGATTAATTTTAAATAAAGTTTACTTTAGTTGAGTTTTAATTTAAGGCTTAATTGCAAAGATATATGATGACAAAAATCGGGAACATGCAAAAAATGATGGCCTTCATCGACATTTTTGCTGAGGAAAAATCGTCTCTAAATGATCCCAGGAATCTGTCTTTGAAAGATTGATTATGAGTTTTGGGATACCCTGTATATATGTGTGTGTGTGTGTGTGCATTTGTAACAATGATTTACATAGAGATTCCTGTAAACACAGCACAGATCATGACATTTTCTTTAACAACATTTCATATATACATCTTTCTTTACATTATTTTTTCGATTATACATTGTATCATATAATTTCAATTAGAGCGAGGTTTTTCTTTTTTTTTCTTTTAGCATTGTAGTCGAGATCTGCGCTAGATCTGACTGAATCATTAGGTATGGATGCACTTCTTTCCCTTTCTTAGCCCCAGGGATACCACGGCAGCACCACCGACACTGAAGCAGGCGTCTAGAAAAGCGAAATCCCTTGTCCTAGGATTTATTAGTCCACTTCATGTCGTCCGTTAGCTCTGTACGAGATTCCGGGGGTGTTTCTGATAATTACGACTCTCGATCTAAAAACTCGCGATACGAAAATTAATGTTTATGTGATTGTCTCTAAACCATTATCTAAGAAACCAGCGATATTATTCGAGGTCGTACATTATTCGATTACTACAGTTTTACGAGCAGACAAACTTAAAAAGTTAAGTATTATAGTATAGTCGAATTACAACACACCGATTACACATTATGATAAACGTTTCCTGTTAACAGTGACTTTCGTTTATATATTGCGATTATATTTTTTTTAGATACTGGTAGTACCACTAGTCAATCATATATTTGCATTTATATCAATATGTAAAATTTTCGTTCACGTAAATACGAATAATGTTGCACAATGTATAATAATATCAAAGAAATCGTTTTTTTCCGTGCTTCCATATGCGCGTACACTATATGCACGTCCTCGAAATTCGATTGTACAGAGATAAGCGCCCATTTTACTTCAATCTTCACGACTGTGAGAGTATTTGTCTTTATGTCTTCATTGAATTTGTTCTTTTTTTTTTTAATTATCAACTTTGCATATTTCGCGCCGAGATGAATCACGGATGAACCGTTGATATACATCATTTTCATAATTTTATAATTTGTAGAAAAAATGTTTTCGACATTATTATTTTACGTGTATTGCATCACACTGTGAATGATCGAATGAAACAGTTTTCTACGCGAGATGAAAGATCTGCAATCACGTATCCTTTCAAGCGATGTTAACAACGCGATCCGTAATATGTGTTACCTTATTTTATCCATTGGACATTGGATAGACATTGGATAGATTCCAAAATGGGAAAATATCGCGAGTTAAAGTGACCTGAACAGTGAGTGATACGTCGTGAGAACGTTTTCAGTCTATTGATAAAATTTGAAATCAATCAATTTCGAAATATTGTGTCGTGTTATGACAGAAAGGGATTTGGTCGGTCTTTTATACCGGCTTTTAAGTGTCTCTTGAGCGCACAAAGCGAGGATTTTCTTTGCGCCAAGTATATTATGTACAGAATAAAGTAAGAGATGTGTGTATTATGATTATATATATATAGGATGTATTAAAACTATCGGATGGCTTTAATAGCAATTTCTCCGGTCAATTTGGAGACAATTTTTCCTTTGCGAAAAGATAATAATTTCCATGTATGACAACGATAAAATAAACAAAATAAATTATTCAGTTAGTGTTCTTTTAAATGGAATTTAATAGAATTTTAATTACATTAAAAAATTAAAAATTTTTTAAAAATGATTTGACATTTTCACTAGGGAAAAATTAATTGCAAATTGTTCAAAGAATCTGCTATTAAAAGAATATCTGGAATTTTTGAGACACTATATATATTAGGATATATCAGAACACGTAGAATAAGTAAGCTATAGTTTGTATAAAATAAAAAGAAACGATTAACAAGCAGATATATAGATATAGTATCTACTTTGCCTTCCCGAAATGATAATCTGTGTTTCCTGTCAATTTTGCACCAGAGGCTATACAAGTGTATTGCGTTTTGCGTTTGCTCTTTCTTGCATTTTTATCGATTTCTTTAGTTATCTTTTCCCGTTATCTTTGTTATTTAAAAAAATATAATCTTTACAATCTTTCTTAATAATCTAAATAGCTAGTAGATGTACATTTATTTTTCCTTGACATATCTTAAAAAAAAAAATAATAAATGTGTCCATGTGTAAAAAAATATTGTTCATACACATAACATTCATAAATGCGGATATTATAAGTGGTTATCATTTTTCCTATTGTTTTTCCTATCATATCATTTATTAAATAAAAAATTGAAAAAAGTAATACTTGATTTATTCATCCCTTATAAATATGAATTTAAATTAGTCAATTCAAATATAGTTCAGGTAGTGATCCAAATAAAGATATTAAATCATTAATAAATGTAGAAATTTTGAATTTATATATCGTGATATATAAATGATAAAATTACTAGTTTTATATCAATGTTTTGTTTCAAATGTTATATATCAATCATGTGTATAATTAGAGAGTTAGGAAAATATTTTTTTGTTAATTGTAAAGTTTTTTCATTAATAAGTCGATTTTTAAAAAATTTTTGATAAACTAAAAATAACTTAAATTTTCGCCGAAAACTGTCATTACTTTATAAACTGTCATATTATAGAATATCTATTTCCTGAAAAAACCTGAAATTTTCAGAGTTCCTTTTTATCTAGAAAAAAAGGGAATTCTATTTAAAATTATATTTTAGTAAAATTCAGGTATTAAAAAAAATATGATAATTTTGTTCTTATATTGCAATAACTCACCAATTGGCCAAGGTGTAAATTAAGATTGCTTGCAATATAAGAGCAAAATTATATCAATTATAATTTTTTTTAATATTCTTGACTTCTAATTAAATATCATAAGAATTTCATGACATATATGTATATATATATATATATATATATATATATATATATATATATATATATATATATACACAGGGTCTGTCCCAACTTGGACAGTAAAATATCTCAAAAACTAAGCCCAGCAAACAAAAATGTTACAGACAAAAGTTGTATGGTGTCGAGGGGGACATAAGATGGTACCATTGGTTTGATCTTATTTGACACATGAAGGTCACCTTCAATTTCTTAAATGGAACCTACATTTTCTCATTACATATTTTTGTAGCTTATCTCGAAAGCTTTCCAAAACACTATAATAAAATATTTTTTCATTGTGTACTTTTCGAATTATGAGGCTTGAAATCATTTCTTCATTTTACATAAACTGTAATATATCGAATAAAATATTCATTTTTCGATTATTTTGCCTTAATACTTTTATGTACAAAATAATGAGAGAAATCAATTGGTGTAAAAAAAACACATAGTTGTTTAAAAAAAAAATATGTAATTGTTAATTACAAATTACATATTTTTTCTTAAAAATAACTATGTGTTTTCTTGTTAATTACAAATTACATATCTTTTATTAAAAATAACTATATGTTTTCTTTACACCAATTGATTCTTCTCATTATTTTGTACATAAAAATATTAAGGCAAGATAATCGACAAATAAATATTTTACTAGGTATATTACGGTTTATGTAAAATTAAGAAATGATTTCAAGCCTCATAACTCGAAAAATACTTGACGCACAGTAACATAATTATAGTGCTTTGGAAAGCTCTCAAAATAAGCTTCAAGAATATGCAATAAAAAATTGGGGTTTTCATTTACAGAGTTCAAGGTGAACCTTTACGTAATCTTTTTTTTTCTCGAGAGAGGAAAAAATGTTACGCACACACTCTTCCACCCTGGCATTGCGGAGGGATAGTGCGGGACTCGGCCTATTTAACGGCCCCTACCCGCTAAAAATTCCTCTCTATCGCATCTTTTCTTGTTACAATTGAATCAGGAGCCCGGTCCCTGTTTCGCACAATCTCCGGGTTACTGGTTTAACAACCTTGTGCGCTACAGTGCGCCGTTCTGTTCCGGTTTCCTTCCTCTCCTAGCTACCTACCTTTCCCTCCCTGCCTCCAAACCCCTTCCCCCATCTCTCCCTTCAAACTCCCCCTCCCCCATTTCTTCAACCCCGTGCCCAACCTCCCTATCATGACCTTTACGTGACCTTAACAACACTCTTCAAGATCATATTGATACCGCCATGTAATGCGTTACTTGAAACCTTACAACTTTTGTCTGCTGCGCTCAATTTTTGAGATATTCGGCTGATACGGGTGGTCTGCGACACCCTGTATATGTATATATACAATATATATGTATATATGTATGTATATGAATGTATATTTTTTTCCTTTTGTTTATTTGTGTATTTTTCTTATCAAAATGCCGAATATGCAGTATACATTTTCCATTGTAATTCGTAATAACAAAAGAAAAATGTATTATGCAAAAAAATACTATCCTTATGAAAGTTATTTTGTTCTTTTTAGTACAAATATTTAATGCATTTCAAATATTTAGTACATACACTTATTCAAATCTAGTATTTGAAATTTAAGTGGCTCTTTATTGTTCTTCGTTTAAATGAAAAACATTAACGTAAAGAAACGTAAATCAAAAGAAACAATAAGAAAAACATTTCAAAAAATTTTACCATTTCAAAAAATTGTAAATAAAAACATAATTTTAAGATAGAAATGTAGAGGGATTTTTTCATAAAATTTGATTAGACATCTTGTATTATTAAGATTAACTTTGTAGGATATTCAAATGATTTTAGCATAAATCTGAATGTTTTTAATTATTACTCGTAAAATTTCTATACAATTATTTTCAAAAAAATTCTGTATATAATCTAAAAAAATTAAATAATATTAAATAATATTAAATAAATATATTAAAAACATGTAATATATTATTAAATAATATATTAAAAATAAATTATAATTTAAAAATGTATATAATTATATATAAATAATATATATTTTTTTTATATTAATATAAACTATGTATTAATATATATTGTTTTAATAACTCTCTATTAATATATACTATGAATAGGAAAAATGAAAAGAAAAATAGTTAAAGGATAATTAGAAGAATAATTTTCGTATTGCTTTTTTAGAGAGAAATTTGAAAAATTAAAAAATTGTCTACATTTATAAATTTATTAAAAATTTTATTAAAAATTTTTATTAAAAATTGCCTATATTTATAAATTTATGTATAATTATTTATGGATTACTTTTATAGATTTCACTTTTTTAAAAAAATAATGCAAATATTATTTTTTTAAATTATATTTTTATTATTTTTCATGTACAAGATATTTCAGAAAAAAGGGCCCAAATTTTAAGAGCATCTATAAATCATAAGGATGAAGAAAAGACATATGAATGTTACTCTGGAAACGCTTTTTTTCAAAATTATAAACATTTTTTATTTGCAATAAATAATATGCCTCATATCGACATCTTATGAATTGTACTTTTATTCACTAATTACATAGCCTATACGTTCTCTTGATTTAAACTTGTTGGATTTTTAACAACATCTTACAACTTTTGTTTACGATACTCCTGTTATTGTTGAAGTACTTTAGAATCATATTATCGTTTTGTGTGACAAAGTATGAAATATTCCGCAAATTTTTGAATGTCTTTAACAATTCATGAGACATTGATATGAGATATGAATTTTAATACGGAAGAAAGTCGCTAACAATTTCTCTAATAAAATGTTCTTATAATATTTATTGTAAATAAAAAAGTGTTTATAATTTAGCAACAAAGCGTTTCCATATTTATGTTTATATGAGTTTTTTTAATTCTTGATGAATAATATATGCTCTTAAAGTTCTCATTTATTTTTGAAACACTTCGAAACTATGTAAACGGATTAGACAAAAGAAAGAAATATTATGTGGACATAATATATATGGATTATTTTTCGGGATGTAATATTTTATTTTAAATACAAAGTTTAATGTGAAATTTCCCGCGTAGAAAACTTTAAATATTGACGAACAATATCCTTATTTAAGTCAGATTTATAAGAGAAAATTTTGTACAAAATTTTGTAATTATTTATTAAAAATCTTGAGTTTTTTTTAATATAGATATAAAAAAACCTAAATCAATTAATGCATTATTTTAATATATTTGTATAATGTGAACATACTTTATACATATATTAGACATGTATATAAATTTACATATACATGTATATATGTACATATGTTTATAAGATGTTTTATTTTAAATGATGAATATCTGATAAAGTAAAAAAGATGGAAAAAAATGTTTCAGACAAAAGTTGTTTAACTTGAAGGGGAACATAAGATGATGCCATTGATTTGACCTTGAATAATTGTTTAAAGGTCACCTTTAATTTTTTGAACGAAATCCCCTATTTTTTATTACTTATTCTTATAGTTTATCTCGAAAGCTGTTTAAAACACTATAATAAAGTATTTTTTCATTGAGTACTTTTCGAGTTATGAGGTTTGAAATAATTTCTTAACTTTACATAAACTATATCTTACCTTATTATCTATTATTTTACCTTAATACTTTTATGTACAAAAGGTAATTATTTAGCTTAGGGGAGCCACCTCGGATAACCTTGACCTTGATATATGTTGTCAAGGTCACTGTTCTGAGTAACATTCAAAAGGTTTTAGCTGGCGCTTGTTGTTTATTTAAAAGTTATTAACAAAAGAATTTCACAAT